AAACTCCAAAGCGATGCCCAAATCCACCACATGTAGCCAATCTAGCTGGATCATGGCTAGATTGAAGAAAGGACATCCAAGCAGAGGCGACTTCTCTTGGAGCGAGCACAGAGCCGACCAGTGAGTGTGCCGGTTTTCGGGTCTTAGCCAAGAAGCGGTCATCCCGACCTCGGCAACACGATCGGGTGTCATGTTGCAGAACCAGCAGCAACCATGGTTCTCGTTCCTGGGCTGCAGAGCTCAAGATCTGCATGGAAAGGACTTACAAAGGGTCCTATATTTGTGCATGCATGTATAAAAAATGTATATGTCTATGCATGCTATATAGTATACATATACAGGACCTCCAGGGAGTCCTAGGGTCCATAAAGGACCCTGAAATTATTCGATCGAGGAGGGATCGAGTGCAAACCCTCCTGTAATTTAACCCTTATTTTGCAGCTGTAGTCACCATGCCGGCAGGTATAGCACCTGCTTGAAAAAAGCCCAATCACCTCGAACTTGGCCTAAGACAGCTCGAGGGCATGCGGATCCTTGCTTCCCGGCTCGATAGCCGTCTGAAGCATGCCAGGGCGAGCCATCGTGTCGACATCTCGGAAACACACCTGCTGCGGCGAAACGAAAACTCCAGGAGATCACCTCTAGGATAAGATTCCATGTCTGGTTCTTCACCATCAGGTGTTTCTGGAGGATGCACAGCGGGAACCTAGTATCAGATCTTGTTTCACAACTGAGGATATTCATCGAGAGAACCTCTGCAACTTGGCTCCTGTCCCTGTTCAAAGGGGTGCCATCCCCCCAAATGCCGACAAGCATGAGGTCCTCGCTGCCTACCTGAAGCGAGGAGGCAGCGACATCCAGGAACTGTCGTTCCTGCTCTTGCAAAACCTCCAGTTTCCGGAGATTGGAAGGATTCCTTGCTTTGGCGTCTAAGCAAAAGAGGATCTCATGAGGGAGCCACATGACGATGTCTCCCTGTTCCTCTTTCTGCTCCTTGTGGTTCCACAAGGGTGCTTGCACAATATACTGACCAGGCCAGTGGCGATTCCGATTCATCTTTCGCAAGACATCCCTGTGTCGAGCTAGATCGTCCGCCCTCCGGGAGCCCAGTGTTGCAAGGCGATCCATGTGTGCACTGCCACTGGCTTCGGCATCCCGAAACAAACGGCCAGCCTCTGCAGCAGGAACTGCATTGGTCAGGAACAAATTTCCCAACCTTCTTGCTAATCTTCTTGGGGGCTCCACATTGCTCAAGTCTATCTGAGCCCTCTTGTTGGAATTCATGGCAAACAGCTAGCTCGAACCGCCTCGAGCCGTATAGCTATAGCTATACATACACCTGCAGATGTGCAAAACAATTGCAACGATCCATGCAAAGCACGTGCAGGCAAGCCACAAAAAGACTGGCAGTCGAGAAGCTGTTTTGAGGCTCCTTGCAAAAACCATGCAATTCGGGCACAGGAGGATCATCGATCCTCCTCGGCCTGGCCCGGGATTTGCTCGATCAGGACAGAATGGCCTTAGCCTTCTTTAGAATCTTGCCAGCAGCATCCTGGTGGACGACTGCTTCAGCAATCATCTCAGCGACCTGGGCCTTATTGTCAGCACTCGGGGCCTGGATCGAGTCAAGGGTGGCCAAAGCGAGGCGAGCATCCTTGAGCCAAGTGTCCAGCTCTTTGAGTGCGTTGTCCATCTCCGTGGCCGTGGTCCCGGTAACACCGGCATGTGCTCCCCTGGCGGACAAGTCCTTCAGCTGCGTCTCGATTTTTTCCAGCTTGATCTTGCCAGATTGCAAAATGCCGAGCTGACCCTTGAACTCCACCAGCTCGGGGTTCACGACTGTGACGGTGGGGTTCCCTCCGGATCCCGAGGCCTCGTTGAGGAGCATGTTCTGCTTCTCTTTGTCATTGCAGTCGAAACCGGCATGCATGGCGTCCGTCTCCAAAGTCACGGAGTCTGTCTCGGCATGCTTCCTCTTGCCATAGTGATATCGCTTCTCTTTCTGTTTTTTCAATGCCCTCTCCCTCGCTGAGGACTCGTCCCAGTCGTAGTCGAAGGGGGTCTCGTTCAAAATCGCAAGCAGCAGCTTGTCGTCCACATCCATGTTTTCATGCTGAGCGATCTCGAATCCTGAACTTCATGTGTTCAAAAGGAGGCATGCAGACCAAGGTTACGATCGAGTGCATGCATGATCGACTCCTAGGATCCTATAGATATATATATGCATGTATATACATATACTATATATATCTAGTATCGATTTCTACATGCATGCCTGCATAGCAATGCAGAAAAGGTGCGGGTCATGAACCCGGCCAGGGTCCCCTCTGTGGTCTTCGTCTGTGTCTCGAAGGTCTTCGTCTTCTGTGCCCAAGCCTTTCCGGATTTATCCTGGTTCCAGCTGGCCAGCATCATCATTCTCTCGTGGTGCTGGTTCCGGCCGAGATTCCCGTACTCGTTGTAAAACTGAACCTTGGATTCCAAGGTCTCAAGCTCTTTCGGTGATAAGGAGAGTTTGCCCTCCTTGTACTCCTTGAGTTTTTTCAAGTTCGCTTTCCCCTGGGTTGACAAATTGCTCTGCATCTTCTTGACCTCGGCTGGATCCACACCATCCAGCGGGGCCTGCTCTGCCGGCTCAGTTTTCACTGGCATCTGCGGAACGGCCTTCGCCTTCGCCTTAGCCTTGGCCTTGGCTGCTTTCGGAGCCGCCTTTGTTGCCGTAGCTTTCTTAGGCGGCATGAATGCAATCGCCAGGCATGGGAAGCAAGTTGCCAGCCACGAAAGGAACATTGTGGCAACAAGAAGAGAAAACGGGAGCCTTGAAATCGACTGGTGCGATCGATATATATCGCTCGAGCAAACTGCACCACGAAAGCAGGATGCAATATCGGTGGACAAAAGTTTGGGGTCGATCTTTAGGTGTGCATGGTTCGAATCTATATACAACAAGCCAAGAAAGACCAGAAGTTAAATTTAAGTTAAATTTAACTTCAATTTAACTTTAATTTAACTTGTTGGTTTTGATTGCGTACAATGTTTTAAGTTAAGTTAAATTCGAGTTAAATTGGAGTTAAATTTAACTCCAATTTAACTTTATATTTTTTCTAACAGCCTCCTATACTTTCGAGGAGGCTGGTAAAAACGAATATTAATGCACTCTACATATTCCATTAACAGTTTTTATAGCCCTTTAGGGGTTCAGGGGTATAGGGTTTAAGGTTTAGATTTCAGGGTTTGGGCCAGGCTGGGTCCAGGGTTTAAGGTTTTATGGGTATATACATATATAATACATATTTTGACATTATATATATATATAGAGATAGACATACATATGTCTTATGTATAGTTATACTATATATCTATATACATATATATACACATATACACTTACATATGCTTCTAGCATAGATGTGTGTATAATTAATTCATATATACAAACTCATAGTTAATTATGATTATACACATACATACATATATACATACATAGAGACATATACATAATTAACATATACATACCTTACATACAATCATGATAACCTAAAGTAATTCACCTAAATTATATAGTGTATACACATGTACATGTACATGTCATGTGTAATCTCTGTATGCACATATACCTAGCACATACACAATATATACACAGGCATTATATATACATATATATATAGACATACATCATATATGCTTATAGCATCCATGTGTCTATGCATGTATTTTTTATCTTTACAAACTCGATCAGAATCATACATATACATATACATATACGTATACATATATCACACATACATACATATGCATACATACATACATACATACACACATATCGATCTATATATATTTATATGTATATATATATATATTACATACAATCATATCTTAAGCAATGTAAACACATATATTATAATGTCTACACATGCACATGTACATGACAATTTTAACATATATCTATAGTGTATATATATATAGACAATATATATATATATATATATATATATAGATAGATAGATAGATAGATAGATAGATAGATAGATATATTTGTACATCATGATGCAATCTAGATATACATGCATACGTGCACATGTACACACACATATCTATATATATATATATAGATATGTGTTAATATTGGCGGTCTCGATCCTAGGAAAGCTAGCAGCTAGCATCGAGGCCGGTCCACGACAAAGGAGAGCCACACGTGCAACCCTCCTCGATCGCGTGAGGAGCCCGGGTGGGCTCCTGAAGAACATGAACTGAAAAACAAAATTAATCGCCGTTACACAATTGGAGCCAGGTTGTAAAATAATATGTTGTGAGTCGTTGAACTCATATCACTCGATCTCTTGTGGAGGCTACCGAAAACCTCCAGAAGTACCTAGACAAAGCACATGCAGGAAACAAGTCCTCGATCCTCGCGACAAAATGTGAGCTGTCAGAGGCACATGCACTGCAAGCCTTGAGGATCGTGATCTCCACGTCGATATCCTGAACAAAAGCACATCCAGAGCACTTCAAGTTTGCACGTGGTTTGGACCCAGGCCTTGCAGAAGTACTTGACATCGATCCTGAAGCCCAGCCTGCAAGCAGAACGAGGGTTTAGGGGTTGAAGGTTTAATTAGTACAGGCCTGCATTCGGGAGAACCACGATCGACTCGATCTTGATGGCCAGCCTGCAAGCACAAGCAGGGTTTAGGGGTTGAAGGTTTAAGGGGTACAGGCCTGCATGCATTCGCGAGAACGACGATCGACTCGATCTTGATGGCCAGCCTGCAAGCAGAACGAGGGTTTAGGGGTTGAAGGTTTAAGGGGTACAGGCCTGCATTCGCGAGAACGATCGATCGACTCGATCGCGATGGAGCCCACGGTACGATCGAGGTCCTGCATGCAAGGAGTTTCACACCGAGATCATGCAATGCAGACACTATATAGATCGAATGGCATGCCTTGCATGCACAATCGATCCATCTTTTTTTCATACTGCCCGGCCCGTGGATCTTCTCGATCTAGGACACAACGATCGGCTGCACGTCTGCACTGCCGGACGGGCCTGCATGATCACCGCCATCCATATCATCATCGTCATCTCCAGGAGGCGGCTTCCACAGGCAGATCGCCGTGCACAAAACCGGGTCCTCCTCGTCCTCCTCCTCTTCGTCGGGTTCCTCGCCACGATTGCGATAGCCCCATGCGTTCCAGGAGGATTTGGTTCGCTTGCAATGTTGTGCCCACCATGCCTTCCTCTTTAATCCCCTGTTCTTCTTAGGCTTCTTTGGGTGCAGGCGATAGTACTCCATGTACTCGGCCGCTTTCTTGGGATTTGAAGGCGGCTGGCCGGCCCAGTTCTTGGCCACGTTCAGGTCCGGCACACCCATGAAGGACAACTGCCAGGGTTTAGGGTTGGAGGTTTAGGGGTTCATAAGGGTTCGGGTTTAGGGTTTTGGGGTTATATAAAACAATGTTAAACTCATCCAAGTGGCCCGGCATCGGACATTGAGACAAATCCGTTCGCGAAAGTAGGCGAGCTCCCCACAAACAGTGCATCTGCGAACGTATGACCCGTATGGAGTCGGCTCTTCTGTGGTTGGTGCCGGCGGTGCCATCGGTGGCGGCAATGGCGGTGGCGTCGGTGGGAACTCCGGCGTCGGGAGATCGCCGAGCTCCTGGTCACCTTCCTCACGAGGACCATCCGGATTGGCGGCCTCCAAGAACTCGCGGCCCACCGACTGGTGAGCACCCATGATCAAGCGATTGCGATCTTGCAGGATGCTTTTCGTCCCTTAAGCAAGAAGGCTGCGAAAACATGGGTGAGGAGCTGCAGCCTGCGTGATAGCATGCATGCAGCTACCTTGACCGCGATCCATTACTCTCGAATGGTCCTTGCAGAAGGAGAGCACGATGGCCCTCGCTGTTAACGTCGTCAAGGAGAGTATGTACCCTCCTGCGATGCAGAATTTAAAGTGCATCTTATTATATAGAAGATTATTATTTGTGTATATATATATATATTTGTATGATATTGCCAAAAGAAGCAGTGCCTACAGCACCTCGAAGATGGAGAGCCTGCCCTCGAGGTCGAGGATCTGCCATGGTTGATCCTGCAGGTATACACACGTGAATAGGGTCAAGGTTATTGTCGACTGCAGAATTTAAGGCCGGAGTCCTTGTACAAGATCCTGCCATGGCGACGATCGATTATGGACCGATCGGCAACAAAAAGCTGTACGAAACATGTCATGCCTAGCGAGCATGAAAAATCGAGCAGGGCACGGCAAAGTAACATGGATTTGCATTTTAGGCACTCGAAAAAATTGGCATTGCGATTCGCGATCGGGATCCTATCCTGCTATTGCAGCCCCTACTCTGCATGGAGCTCGCTTCGAAGAGCACGGGCTTGCCCATAGGTGAGGCTACCGTCCTGGATCTTCTTGAGATACTCCTGCCCCAAGTCTTTGTAGTTTGCAAAGTTCCTCTGACGGATCTCCAACAACAACTCCCGTTTGTGCTTGCCGGATTTGCAGCGACAGCCCGTGATGTAGACCCTTGGGTTCGTCATGGTCGTAGTAATGCGAACCTGGTGGAGAGGATCGTCGTCTGCAGCTGGTACAACAGCAGGATCATCACCTGGAGCTGCGGGTGCAGCAGGAGCTGTAGGGACAGGATCACTTGCAGGATCATTCGGAAGTGCAGCCGCTTCGTGGGTCTTGGCCTTCGGTTTCGCCTTGGACTTAACCGCCGTCTGCTTCGCCTTCGCCTTGGCCTTGGCCTTGGCCTTCTTGGGCTTTTTCTTCGGTGCCAAACAAGAAGCTGGCTTCTTCATTGCCGCCGCACTGGCCAGAGCATTATGATGCTCAATCACCGTCTTTGGAACAGCACCCTCGGGCAGGTCAGTGGAAATCTCACTGCCATCAGCAAGGATCGTCCGGCTCTTGCAGGCATGCTGATCCGTGTACGTGAAAATGGGCTGCTTCAAGGGCTGATCTAGACGAGCTTCATGGCTGGCCTGCGTAAGCGAAGTTCCAGGATTGGAAGGCTTCGATGCCTCGCCAGAAGACAACTTCATCCTCTTGGCCTTGGACGATGGTCCGGCAGTGCTCGAGTGAGACTTAGCTTTCGAGCCGGTCTTTGCATCTGCAGGAGAATGATCATCCTCCTCGACTGCAAAAGCCTCATCACCACTGCTCGAGATCACATCGATCGCCGTCGCATGCCCGATCGG